CGAATACAGGTCCTAAGCACATATTTTTGCATACTTCCGATTTCTGATGTCCTTCTTGAAGCGCATAAACCTGCACGACTGGTTGATGGGTCGATACACAACAATAAGTAGTGGGCTAATCCATGACTGTTCCACAGCGCAACTGCCATCGTGGAGCTGTTCGATGAATGTTCTGGTTTCCTTGATATTTCGTTTCCTTCGCGCACAAAAGTCGAATTGATTACATTTTGAAACAATATTGTAGTGATTTTCACGCGTTGATCAACCGTAAAAAGTTACAAGTGTAAGAAGTTGGTGATTCTACGTTCTCCAAGACAACAGGCGACTTACAGTTAGTTCAGGAGCGTGTAGTCAGAGAGAGAGATGTCATTAATGCCAGGCTGGCAGAGATCTGCGAATGAGCGGAACTTTTGCTTCATTATTCCCTTCATAAACTCTCTTTTTGGGTTTAAAATGCATCGGCTCTGAAGATACATTTCTAATGGCTTTTCTTTCAGTGCAAATGGGTAGTGGAACGAAGAACTTGTTCAACCCCATTCTCCGACCTCGTGAGTCGTCTAATAAGAACTATCAGCTGATGTCCGAAGCGCACATAATGATGCGAAAAGACGAAGTGCCGGTAGTAACGTTGGTATTGATGTATTCACGTGTGCTGATGCTCTACGACTGGCTGAACGACGCGAAGAACTTTGTTATGTTGAGCTCAGACTTTGAGCCGAAATGTAAGTAAGGTTGGATTTGCTATTATTTGAATAGGATTTTCTGAAGTATTAGCTGAACAAGACCAGCCGAAGGGTACGGTTCAATAGGTTGGGAAGTGATTAAATAGGCGTGGACGCCAAGACGTTATTTGGTTGAGACGGGGTTTTTGATGAAAGACGGCCCATCAGAATTCAAATAGAGGTGATCAGTGGTGAGGATGAAGAAAAACCATGAGAAACGGCCCAGAACCCGAAAAATGGCCCCTTCCTTGCCCGTTGATTTCCGCATTGATGCGACTCTCATCGGTGCTGCCCTCTTCAACGCTAACGCTCTCTGCTAACGGCTAGAGACCTGCGGCGAGTGGTTAGCCAGTCGGTGGGCGTGCCGCGCGCGGGGTGGCCATGCTAGGTCGCCAAGGCATATCCTTCGCTGCGGATCGCGTGCTGCTCTGCACCCTTAGGAGGATGCCCCTCTATCACTAGTGTTGTTTCGATCTTTCCTTCCTGACCTCGGTTTTGAACGTCTGAAAGATTCCATCGCTAACAATCTGGCTTTCTGGCTACATTCATTCAACATCTCTCACTTCGACACCTCATTCCACGCTCAATTACCGATCGGCATTTCATAGTTCTATTGGGGTTCGCGCGGTATTTTGTATTACCTGGTGATGTATCCATTGGTATTTGTGGTTATTCCTGATGGTTAGACTTTCGTTTCTTTACCAGGCTGTCATCACTAAGTTCCTCCCTTGTGTTTTCCTTATTTTGTGGCGTAGCGCTACAATTCGAAGTATTCATGTTCAACGTCCTATTTCTTTGAATTAAGGCAAACACAGCTTACTTCTAAATAAGGCATTTGAGTTTACTCTTTTGTTTACCTAAAACGATTCAGACAGTGACGAAGTAGGGCGCTCGGTGGTCAATGGAGGAGTAGTCGGTCGCATGGGTAGAGTTCCCTCAGGACAACAACAAACAATATCCTTGAAGATCACTTTGAGGTAAAGGGTTAAATCTTCTTGTTCGTTGTTTATTTCCAAGCAGTGTGGAAGAGAAAAGAAAGCGATCGTTTAGGGACTCGGATTTGTACCTTCTGGAAAATCCAAGCATGAGTAATAGCTTTGCCGTCGTGATAAACACTAGCGCCGTGTTGAATGTCAGCGACCCTGGCGGTATTATGTCGTTCAATTTGGAGATCCAGGTGTGTTTCCTTGCAGTTTTAATGGTTGCAATTTTGATTTTTCTCCACTTTACAGAATATGAATCTTGGTTGGTGTTGCATGCAAAACGAAGAATCGACCCTAAATCAGTGCTCAAATGAGTTCTCAATCGCTGTTAGCATGACTATGGGTGACCCCGTAGCAGAAGATTCCAATAAACGACGAGGATTGCCCTCCCTGGCGCTGAAAAGGCACTCAGTAGAGGTATGTTCATTTCAAATACAGTTTTTTTTGAAACATAGAGAAGGGAGTTCATGTGCGTCCAGCATGAGTATTCCGTTCTGCAACTGGTAATTAATGTTTATTTGAAGTTCAGGGCGATTTTTCAAGTTTTACAGGTGTATATTCATGGAATGATCGGCAGGCTGTCCTACAAAGACGTGCGCGTTCTTCGTAGTGCTATTGACGGATATGTGGAGAATCTGAAGCAGAACGCAGGTGTTACGATGATTCCCATAGTGGGAACCCCGCCGAAGCCTAAAAGTAAGTCTGCCATTTGATCTGATTTTCTTTTTTTTCTTTTGTTTTTTACACATTTTGAATGTCCTTGGTTTCACATTAGTTTTCTAGCGAATGGTATTTCAGGCATAGAAATAGGTCGCATTGTTGTGAAGTCTGAGAGGATAGATGTTTGGCTACTGGATGATTTTCAAGGCAGTTCGATTCCACTGCTGCGGATGTCGTTGTTGAGTAAGTTTTAGCAGTTTGAGAAGGTTTGAATATGAAAGGTTGTTTACATTTAATTTGGTCTATGCCCGGTTTGAGGTCTCCCTTTCCTCCTCTTTCGAGAATCACTTGCCGGATTTCAAAAAAAAAGAAACTAAAGACGGCATGGATTCACTTTCTGCAGATTTTTTGGTTCGATCATCGTTAGGTTTCAGCATCCTGATTTTTTTCAATGCTTGTGTGACCCACATTGAACTTCCTTCAAGGAAGTTTTCGCTTCGTTTTAGTTTTTATAGTTTCTTTTTTTTAATAAGGCAACGAAGAGATTATACCGTCTTTCTCCACGAGAGGGTCCTATATATGGATTATGGCTCAGCCCCCCCCAGGCTCACTCTCCAGACAGACTCTACTCACAGAATAGAAAACAACGAAACTGCCAGTTCTGCAATTTTCGCTTAGTTAAATGTGTATATGAACTGTGCACAGAGTGTACGCACATATGTACATAGTCATAGGCACTGAAGGATATGATTTGAAAATCATGTGATATTGTTGTCAAAAAATATTTTTTAATGAAATGACTTTTGAATATGTTTTGTTCAGATTTCAGATTTGTCAATCGATCGACAATCAGAAGAGCGCCTAGTGTCGAATTTCTCAATATCTGCAGATTACTTCAATCAACGAGTTTTTGGGTGGGAGCCGGTTGTAGAGAAGTGGTCAGTATTGCGGTTTCTTCTGACAAAGAAGGAGAATACAAGGAATATGGATTTGATAGCTGGTAAGTTGATTCTCCGAATGTTTGATTACCAGCTGTTTTATCAAAATTGGATAGAATGAAAACTGTACTAGTAGTTGGGTTGGAGGGGAGGGCAGAGGGAGCGGAGTCAAATATGCGTTGGCAGTCTACCCACAAAAATAATGGTCGTATTTTTCTGGTTTCTGGAAGAGAGAGTCGTAATTGCACAGGAGGGGACGAGGGAGGGGGTCTTCAATTGAGGAGAGATTGAATGTGTGTGGATTTTGCGTCTCAAGCACCTCATGCCCCTCTCCCACTGTCGCTCACGCGCTCAACGGCCGGCAATCATGAGGAGTTCGGGTGGGAAGCGGAGTAGTATGTCTTTAGTGCCAGAATTGGAGGGACAGTTATGGTAGAGGAGATGATGGTGGAGGAGGACGAGGGTAGTATGGAGCAGGGTGAAATCGCTTGAGGAAACGACAACGGCTCGTCGAGGATTTCTTTCACGCTCTCCCACGCGGATGCTCACTCTCGCCACCCGCGAGCCGTCTGTGCTCTCCGCGCATGCATTCACTCTCGACACTACTCTCGCACAGTAGAGAGCCATGGTCGAGGAATTCCTCGACCGTTATTCACCCTGGTTAGTGCGAGAGTGAACATCCGCGCGGAGAGCACAGACGGCACGCGCATGGCGAGTGTGAATGTCCGCGCGAGAGATCGTGTCTGATCGGGCAGAGAATCCTCGACGTGCCGTTGAGGAATCCTCAAGCGATATTCACCCTGGTATACTCATAAGAAATGATTTCCCAAGTTTTTTTCCTAACGTCAGTGTCAACCGTGATGAGGCATGCTGG